TAAAGAGAAATTTTTTTGTCAAGTTATCAAAAGAATTTTTTAAAGTCAGTAATGGAACTTATTATCTCACAAATTATTACTTGTTAAATTAGTAATGGGACCTTGTCATTCCTGATAATAAAAATAAGTAAACATTTATAAAAATCAATGATTGAATTTTATAACAAATCCTATTAGTAATTCAATAAGTAGTCATTTATAAAATGATAAGTAACTATTGAGCTTTTAGTAAATGTTAGTATAGAAAGTAAAAACAGAGTTAAATATATATATATATATATATATATTTGCATTATATTGGTGGCCAAGAAGATGTAGATTTAAACTTCACCTTAGACACTTAAAAAAAAAAAAACAGTTTGCCTCTCTCACCAGTCCAGTGATCAACGCCAGAGCTCTGGCGATGGTCTGGCTATCATTGTTGAAGCTTAGATGACCACTCCGATGAGGTGCTCCGACCACCGACATCGGAGCTCCGACTGTCGATAGTTGAGAAGTTTTTCTTTTTTTAAAAAAAAATTGAGAGATAGTTTATCTTTTCATACTAAAAATTAATTATATTTTAATTCCTTATTCTTCCAACAGTTCTTGACTGTAATTTTCCCTTATGTTTTTGCCCCCGGTGACGGAGGAGAGCAGGAGAGACACCTGATCCCGTTTTCGGGATCACTGATAGATATGCTCAACTCTAAATGGGAAAATGTTAAAAAGTTCTGAAAGTCTATGATTGAATGTCATTACTTGTTTTATTTTATTTTATCATGCAGAGCAGTCAAAGATGGCGGCTCTTTGATTACTTTATATTTTTGAAACCCGCGACTAATTGGACACGATTCATTGTATTTTAATTCGTCTGCTTCCCATGAAATATCAATTAACTACTCTTGTAATTATAGCAATGTATACATACTTTCATCCTCCCAATTTATACGCCGTTTTTAAAATAAAAAATATAAAATATTTTAATAAAAATAAAATTTTATCAACAAATTTTTTTAATATTAGCATTTACATTATATTCTCTCTCTTTGATATTTTTTATAAATGAAGTATTAATAAAAAAATTTAATTTTAATTTTAAAAAATAAAATACATTTAATGAGTTTTATTAGTATGTACAATTTTATCTAAAAATATTTTATAATTTGAAATGGAGGATGTTATTAAAGCTTAATCTTATAATTGAAAAATTATTATCATAATAAATATAAGTAACATGGTGCAGTTATATAATAATACAAGTGTTATAAAAAAATAATAATATAAGTTTCAGAAAACAATATAAAATGCATTAAATTAGTCCAATAACCATGAAAAATACAATTCTCATAAATTATGAATAAGGTTTTTGAATATTTTGAAATATGATTCATTCACAAAATTAATTAGAGGTGATTTTTTTCTTTTTATCTATAGAAAAAATATATTATTAAAATACTTTGCGTAAACTGATCCACAAATATATTTCCTATAACTAACTAAATAATTTTAACCTTTACTTAATTGAATCAAATCCATACACATACATCCATCATATCTCTCCCCCTTTCATAATAATTCCTTTCCTTTCTTGGTGGGTAGAGAAATCAAGATGATATTTACATATTGCTTTTTTGTTATCCTAACAAGTGTGCTTTTTTGTAAGAGACATTTCAACATGGTTAGTTCAATTTCGTATCTTTGCAAACAAGTCTTTATTACTAGGGTTTCTTGCACGAAGTGAATGTAAACCCAAACTTTTATTGTAGAGGAGTATTTGATTCTTTATGATATCCAAAAAAATTTATAGCATATGTTTGATCTGTTTTGAGCAAATAATTATATTTTTTTTCATGTTTTTATCCACAATAGTATATCAATGATATACAATTGTATTTCACTAATAAACCATATTAATAAAAACTTATCAACACCATGTAACCTTTAAGATATAAGGATGTTTAATCTTGTTATTTCTTATGATGAAAAATAAAATTTATTAATTTAGGTATTTGATTTTTGTTATAACCTAAGATGTCCAGTTTATGAATTGTGTTTGATATGTTTTGAACAAATGATTATATTTTTTTTATATTACTAATCTACGATAGTATATCAGTTATCTACACACTGATAAACCATATTAATGAAAACTTATCAACACCATTTGATTTTGTAGATATGCGAATGCTTAATCTTATTTTTTTTTTTTGGAAAGAGGGTCAAATGAAGCTCTCTTCCATCTTTGAGTTTTTAAAAGAAGGATTTTGTGCAAAAAAATGTATTTTTAAAAAAGTCATATTATTTGTAAAGAGAATAGTTTTATCATATAAAGCTTAATTAAATATTAGAATGATCATAATACAAAATATAACAAATATTAAGCTATTGATTATGTTTAGTTCTATAAAATAGGTTAACCCCTGTAAAATGTGATAAATAATTATTTTTAAATAAACTAGCAATTTAATAATTACATCAATAATAAAAAAAAAGTAAAATAATTCACTTATTTTGCTTTGATGGGCCCCACCCCTATATGGCTATTTTATCTTCCCTGTGACATCCATTACGCTGCTATTACTAGGGGTGAGCAAAACCGAATCGAAATTGAAAATTGAACTGAATCAAATCAAATTTTGTTTATTTGATTCAGTCTATTCGGTTTTTTAGTTTGATTCAGTTTTTTTTTAATGAAAATTTTGGTTGATCGGTTCGATTTGATCTGAGAATTTAAGAATCAAATAAACCGAACTAACTGAATTATTCATATTTTTTCTTTCATATTTTTAAAAATATGAATTAATTCTCATCTAGGTGAGTAAGAAACATCTTTCTACTACTTGCAGTAATAGTATTTTTTGACTTAATGTGATGTTCTAATTTTTTATTTCTATAATTTAGTTTTTAGTGCAATAGTACTGAGTCTTATGGTACTGATGTTCTAATTTTTTATTTCTATAAATTATGGTATAAGATTATTATTATGTTGTTGGGCTTTCAACATCAAGAAACAAAAATTAGATAGAAGAATATATGAACAACTAAATTTCATAGACCCAAATCAAAGCCCATAAATCAAATAGACCGATCAAATTGAATTATTAAAATTTGGTTTAATTATATATTTCGATTTGATTCAATTCAATCCAAATTTTTTATATAATTTGGTCTATTGGTTTTAAAAAAATTAAAACTGAACCGACCAAATTGACCAAATGCTTATCCCTAGCTATTACCATAGAACGCAGGCGGTGCCTGTATAGTGCACACCCCGGCAGTTAATTTTATGAATAAAACTAACAATTTTTAGGGCCATTGGAACTTTGATTTGATCATGTCATGGTTAAACGGCACAAAATATGAACTGATATATATATATATATATATATATAATGTCATGAGTTAAACGGCACTCCTTTTTCGAACCCAAAAAAGTACTATCTTTTCCATTAAAAAACCATAATCTATAATTTAATTTGGAAAAAATTAATTTGCAGGTTCTTGTAGTTTTTTTACAATTTTAAATTAGATCCTATAGCTTATTTGTTTTAGTCAAGCCCTTATAGCTTGACTAATTAAATACACTAATCTCTAAATGTTAAAATTATTAATGAATAATTAACTTTTCTATAACAAGAACACTTTTAAAACTTATAAAATGTTTGATTTAATATTTCTGCTAAAAAGTAAAAATAAATTTTTATTTAATACCATTCTTACACTTTTATTAAATTTCTTATAAAAATTCTATATGCATAATCAAATTATTTATAAAATATAACCTAATTATATACATTTTGATTTATAAAAATTATTTAATTAATTCTAAAGTTTTGTAATATTTTATTAAATGTATAAAAGTTCTTAATTTCATTTTTAAAAAGAAATATTTTAGTATTTTAATCTTTAGGGATTAATATATTTAATTAATCAAATTATAAAGGGCTTGATTAAAATAAAATAAATTACAGCAATCTAAGTTAAAATAAAATAAAATTAAAATTGAGAAAATCTATTAAGACTTGAAGACTAATTCTCCCATCTAATTTTTATCACAAAATATGAATTAGATGAATGTTACCATCATTTAATATATATATATATATATATATTATGAATTGTTTTGTGTGTGTGTGAGATAAATAGATTTTGAGCATAATATATTTTCTTAGGAGAATTTTAGTTAAGGACTAGGAAAAATATTTAATTTCAAGTGGGTTTAAGAATATTTTGAAATTTTAATTTAGTTTAGAGGAGAAAAGTCAAAAAAATTTTAATGGTGAAAATATCAAAATACCCTTAACGTATTATGTAAAATTATTAATTGTTAATTTTTTTACTACACTTATTAATTTATCATTATTATTTATAAATTGCATCCATTTATCAGACAATCAGTAATATCAGTTGTAAATTTACTTATTAATTTATTAACATTAATTGTAAATTATAAGACCTGTCAGTAATTTACAATTGATGTTAGTAAATTAAAAGATCTATCAGTAATTCACAACTGATATTAGTAAATTAACAAGTAAAGTTAGCAATTTAGCAACTGATATTGTTGTTTATAATTGAAAAATTGATATCAAGTTTTATATAATTATTAACATGTCAACTTATATAATTTATAACTCAAATTTATAAATTAAAAAATAAAGTAAGAAAATTAACAACTAATAATTTTGCATAATAAATGAAGGGTATTTTAATTTTTTCACTGTCAAGGTTTTTTTAACTCTTTTTCTCTAGATTAAAGTGAAATTTTAGAATTTTTTTAAACTCATATAAAATTAAGTCTCTTTCTTGATTCTTAATTAAAATTCTCCGTAGTTTCTTCAAATCAAACACGTACGACTCGTTACGTAACAATAACCAACCATTTTTTAACCTAGCAAGTTGGCCATATAATATCATACGAACTAGATTTTACAGATAAATTTAAAAAAACATGAAAAAGTCAACAAGACAGCGAACACTTTTCACGGAAAATTAACACTATCATCTCTTTTATATCAAATGATGCTTTTGGCTGTAAGCTCCATAGCTCATAGGCATGAACACCACGATGTCTCTTTCACATCCCCTCTTTCAGACTTCCGTCGCCCCAGGTATGAATCTCTGTGCTTTCGTGTTCATGCTCAGATTAATTATTGAACTCTCTTCTTTCTTTCTGCATGACTTCAATTCTTTTCAACCTCCACTGCACTTTCTCGTGCTTTCTGCAATTTTGCATATTAATCTCTTTATGTTTTGTTGTTGCAGCAACCGCGGCTGTACTCACCAACGCAGAGAATAAAGTTCAGAGCAAACCAAATATTGTATATATCCACTTTTAACTTCTCTTTCGTAATTATTATTAATATCTGTGAATATATTTCTTATGACAGCAACGAGAACTTCAATAAAAAAAAATAATTGCAGGTGTTTGAGGTTAAGAAAGAGAGAATAAAAAAGATGTTCAATAAAGTCAACCTTTCTGTATCAACTTATGATACAGCTTGGGTGGCAATGATCCCATCACCTTCTTCTCCAGAAGCTCCTTTGTTTCCTCAGTCTTTGAACTGGTTATTAGAGAATCAACAGAATGATGGATCATGGAGTCTTCCTCATCGTCACGAGTTGCTCACCAAAGATTCTCTTCTATCTACCTTGGCCTGTGTCCTTGCTCTTAAGCGATGGGGTGTCGGCGAACAGCAAACTAATAAAGGTACTATTTGTATATGATTCATCTAGATTTGATTGGCTCACCAAAGAATCGCCGAAGAGTGTTTGAACTTTGAATTTTATCGAGAAATATTTCATGTTAAACTCAGAGAGATAAGAAGATAAGTGTGGGCTCCGGTACTCTTGAGGGACCCACCACCACTTTGTCCCCAGCCCTCCCTAACTTCAATTGCCTCTCATCAGCAGTATTTATCTTTTGTAGATTACGTTTGTTTAAATTGGTTTTACGTAATTTGCTAGTTAATATATATCAGTTGAACCCGTTTGAGTTAATTAAGTAACTAGAGACTGTTTTGCGTGTTGTTGAAGGACTTGAATATATTGAGTCAAACATTGGTTCAGCTTACGACGGTAAACAATATTCTCCAATTGGATTTGATATTATATTCTCTTACTTGATTGAGGAAGCCCAAAAATTGGACCTCAATCTTTCTCTTGGAGGGGAACGTCTAGAACCACTCATCCAAAAGAGAGAACTGGAACTTATAAGGTGTGTGGGTGGGTGGGGGTGTGTGCGTGTGTAAGCTCTCAGAAATTATATGTTTATGAATTAGTATGCTTCTTTGAACTCAACATGTAGGGGCTGGGCTGGAAGCAATTCAGAAGGATGGAAAGCATATTTAACTTATATTTCAGAAGGATTGGGAAGGTTTCAAGATTGGGAAATGGCTATGAAATATCAAAGAAAGAATGGGTCGTTATTTAACTCGCCAGCTGCTACTGCAACTGCTTTTATTCATCTTAATAATACACAATGTTTTGATTATCTACTTTCATTGGTAGATAAATTTGGAAATGCTGGTTTGTCTTTTTTCAATACTATTATGATTTTTTTTTCTCATCAATCCTATCCATACTAATGCATGTTGTGCGTATGTGTATAAATTTATAAATTTTCTCAGTTCCAACGTTGTATCCTTTTGATGTGCACGCCCGAATCTATATGGTTGATAGTCTAGAAAAATTAGGGATTGATTTTCATTTCCAAGAGGAAATCCAGACAGTATTGGATCAAACATACAGGTAATAATTAAGCATATCTGAATATCAGATGTTTATATAAATTATAAGCTTGATAAAATTTAAGTTATATATTTCTATTTTGTTTACTACAAGCAGATTGTGGCAGCAGCAGGAGGATGATATATTTTTGGAACCCACCACATGTGCTATGGCATTTCGCTTACTACGCTTGCATGGATATGATATTTCTTCAGGTTTCGTGATATTTCTAACATATCAATGCTATGTATGGAGGAAAATTATTTGAGAGAGAAATAATCTGATAATTAATTCATCAATTATTTGTTTTGATTAGAGGCACTAAGTCGATTTTCAGAAGACAAATTCTGTAACACCCTACAAGGATATTTGAGGGATGTTGATTCTGTTTTGGAGTTACATAAGGCTTCCCAGATTGTTCTTCATTCCACAAATGATTCAGTTCTGCACGAGCTATACTCTTGGACCAGACTCTTCCTGGACAAATATTGGTCCTCGTCATCAACAACTGATCATAAACGTTTTAATTATATTGACCATGAGGTATAGTAATTAATAATATCTCAAAATCAATTTTGGTAAATCCAAATCTCCATGAGTGCTTAAGTCATCTTATTAAATGAGTATCTCAATTATAATTATTAAATTTCATCAAAATTTAAAAATTATGAAGACATATTTTCTTTTAAAATTTAAAACAATCTTCATGATCAAATTAAAGCACTCCTTATATATATTATCTCTTTCAAAATTTGAGGTTCATTATATTAAAAAAAATTTCATATTATTCGATTTAATTTAAATGATTATTATTTTATCACGTAAGAAACTCATTGAATAAATAGGCTTAAGCCACTTATCACAAGGGCTAAACTTGGACCTCTACCCACTATCTATATATTTATATATATGTATATGTGTATTATCCTGAATTCAAAATTTTGTGTTTGATATTGCAGTTACCTTTTGCGGTGCGGTATCCGCATCATACGTATTTGGATTGTATATTAAACCAAAGATCTATAAAGCATTACAATGTGGATCAGAAGAGAACTCTGAAAACTTCTTACAGGTAAAATTTTTCTGGCGTTCTTCCTTAATTACTCTCAATTCCCCTTTCTCTCCCTGTTATAACTGGTCCACTTCGAATTATTTGGCTGTTGTTTTCTCAGTTGTTTGAATCTAGCAAATAAGGAATTTCTCGAGTTAGCAGTGGAGAACTTCAATCACTGCCAATCGGTATTCATGAAGAATTCAAGCAATATCAGAGGTGATCACATAGATTTCCATCCTCAATAACTGCTGCTATTCATGAAAATTACACCATGAATCGCTTATCGAACTTGTAATCTCACTTACCTTATAAGAGTCCCTTGCATGACAAATTTCTTTCATTTTCCGTTCCAAGTTGAGCTAACAAAACATAATAACAATCAGGTGGTTTAGGGAGAGTGGGATGGACAAATTAGAGTTTCCGAGAGCAAAAGTAGCGTATTGCTACATAGTAGCCCTTGTAGGAAATGGCTCGCCTGAACTGAGCAAGGCTCGTCTATCATGGGCAAAGAGCGGACTCGCCTTAGGAATTGTTGATGATTTCTTTGATGTTTGGGGCTCTCAAGAGGAACAGATCAACCTTTTACACCTCATGGAGAAGTAATGCGATTCGTTCTCATTTTTCAATCTGTATTAAGCCCATTGATTATCTCTGCAAATATAAGATTACATATGTAACTATTATCATTGATCAACAGATGGGACGTAGATGTGAGCACAGAATGTTGTTCTGAGACTGTTAAGATATTATTCTTAGCACTGAAGGGAATCATTTGTGAGGTTGCAGACCAAGCATTTAAGGTTCAAGGACGAAGTGTGTTGTGCCACGTGATTCAGCTTGTAAGACAATTTATCATCAATCATATAAATTTGCTATTGTACATGTTGTAATTTGAATCATAAGAGTTGATGCTTGTTGCAGTGGGCGGAAGTGTTGAGAACATTTTCAAAGGAAGCAGAGTGGGGGAGAACCAATCACGTGCCAACGTTGGAGGAATATTTGCCCAATTCAATAAAATCATTTGCTATTGGAATACTCATCCCAGGACTGTATCTTGTGGGACCTAAACTTTCGGAAGAGATCATTCAAAGTGCTGAGTTTAATCAACTCTTCGAGGCCCTTAGCCTTGCTGGGCGTCTCCTCAATGATATCAATGGCTACCAAGTGAGTCTCTTCTTCTTTTCCTCTGCGTCCTAATAATGTCACTGGTCATAACTTGAAAAAAAGCTGGTATTGAAATTCGGTAAGTGCCCCTAATCATCTCACACCAAGTGTTCCACGTAGCGCTGTACCAACCGTCAATTCAATCCAGTGGTTGTCAGAAATGTAAGCATAACATACAGGAAAAACACCAGATTACAATTCAATCTGTAATTTAGATGACTGAATGGAAATAATTGAAATGCATATTTACAAAACCATTATTTGAGTCACCATGTTATTTATTTTTTGTCAAACATGAATTTTCAAGTGTATGCTGACAAAATCCTATGGTTACAGTGTGAACACTCACGGAATATGAAGATTTGAGACATTGATAAAATCCAAATTCAAAAAGTTGCAAGTTAAAATTGGATAAAGTTGAGCTAACAGAAGTCAATAACATACTGGGGAATTCAATATATCCAGGGCACTTTTAAGACAAATTCTCAAATAAACTTTTTTCGCAGAGGGAAAAAGAACAAGGAAAGTTCAACTCAATAACGGTTGAACTCATGCATGGGTCGGGGACTATGGGTGAAGAAGAGATCATAGAGAAGCTGCAGAGAATGGTGGATGAGAAGAGAAAAGAACTGTTGAGATTAGTTGTGAAGGAAGAAGGAAGCATAGTGCCAAGAAATGTGAAGCATTTGTTTTGGAATTGGTGCAAATTGTTTCACCTGTTTTACAAGAAGGACGATGTAGTGCATGCCACCGAGCTAGCAGACGAGTTTTCCACCATCAATGATCTATTAATGGGCAATCCCATTCTTCTGAAATAAGTCAATTTTTTCCTTTCCTTCAAGGAAACGAACTGAATCTGAGGTCGAATTTTATCAATGAACAACTTTATTTATGTTATTAGGTGATCAATTGGATCCCAAAAACTTTTCAGGATATGGGGATACTTCTAGGCTTTTAACAAAATACTTACAAATTATGGATCAAATTCTTATTAATTAAATCAATATTTATTGCTGGACTTCATTTATGTCATTAAATATGAATGACTTGAATATGTTACTTATTTAGAGACTCATGACTCGTAAAAATTTGATGGATCATGGCCTTTCATTTTCACTGGGCTTGGGCTTTAGATATTGTGTGCTGGATGATCAACTTTAATTTTGGGCTAGACTGTGGTGAGTCATAGATTTGAATGACGAATAATTGTATTAGCCTTTAAAAGTACAGTAACCTCAACTTGATACCAACAAAAATAAAAAAAGAGAAACCTCAGAGTCAACAAAAGAGATTATTACCTGTGCAAATATACCCAAAAAAAAAAGTCATGTTAACAAATAATTAAATAATAATATTTAATTTATTACTTATATATATTGATGATTATTGATTTATTTATTTGTTTAGATTAATATCATATATTGGAAAAAATTATTCTTTTTCCTTCATTTTTATCTCAAGTTAGTTTAGATGGCTCTTATCCCAGTTAATTAGTGTACCTAATCAATTAATTGAACTAACTCATTGTACATTTTCAAAAAATGGAAATTTTATTGAATATTTAACCAGAAAATTTTGAAAAAATAATCGAGGATCAGAAATATATTTATAATGAATTGAGCATACGATGACGGAATTTTTCATTTATAACACCGTTTATTAATTATTGTCGAGTCAAATACTCAACTCTATAGAATAGAAATTCGAAAAGAAAACAAATGTGTATAATAGAAAACTAGATTATACGTGGCCATGCTAATTTTTTCAGTAACTTATTTTAATGGTTTAGTCAAATTCCTTTGCATCCTCCACCAATTTTAAAATATATATATATTTTTTTCATTTGGTCGATGGATTATCATTATTATGAAAGATTCTCTTCCACAAGCATGCACGACAAGCATTCTAATTGAATTTTCTTCCTGCACAGAAGGTTGGGATTGAACTTCCAACAATAAAGCATTCTAATAACCTAGACGAAAAACTAACATCGCACTTCTGTACGTAACCATGGAGATTCAGATCTTCTTCTTCACTTTGTTTTGCTTCCTTCTTATGATATACAGGGGATCAAATCCCAAGAAATCCTTCAAAAACCTAACCCTACCTCCACGGCCATGGAAGTTACCTCTTATAGGGAACATCCACCAAATTGTAGGGTCACTGCCCCATCACTCCTTGTGAAATTTGGCAAACAAATACGGACCCTTAATGCACCTTCAGCTTGGAGAGACATCTAATATCATTGTCTCTTCCTCTGAAATTGCCAAACAGATCTTCACAACACACGACCTTATCTTCTCCAATAGACCCCGTCTTCTTGCTGCTGAGATCATCACTTACGGTAGCATAGACATTGGATTTTCCCCCCATGGAAACCACTGGAGGCAACTTCGAAAAATCTGTACTTTAGAGCTTTTAACTGCAAAGCGTGTTCGGTCCTTCAGGTTCATAAGGGAAGAGGAAGTATCTGCACTTGTCAAAGACATATGCTCTAATGAAGGGTCAATCATAAATCTGAGTGAGAAAATTTTCACAACCACTGATTCCATAATTGCAAGAGCAGCTTTTGGTAACAAATCTAGACGTCAAGAAGCTTTCATATCTGCTCTGAAGGAAATAATGAAGGTGACTGGTGGTTTCTCAATTGTTGATCTCTTTCCTTCCGTCAAAGTGCTTCAAGTGATTACTGGGATGAGAGCTAAAGTTGAAAGGGTCCACAAGTTTGAATGATGGAATATTGGAGGAAATCATCAAGGATCACAAAGAAAGAAAAGAGACAAGTAGTGGGAATAATAAGGAGAATCTGCTCGATGTTCTTCTCAAGATTCAACAGGAAAATGATTTAGAACTTCCCTTAACTCACAAGCACATTAAAGCTCATTCTGGTGAGTGCGTGCCATTTTTTTTATTTATTATATGCTTCTTAAAATTGTACAGTTTTTTCAATTTGTTTAAAGATATTTTAACCCATTTTTAGGATGTGTTCATTGCTGGATTTGAGTTATCATCAACTACTCTAAAATGGGCCATGACAGAATTGATGAAGAAAGCTCAAGCTGAGGTTAGAAGAATCTTCCATGGAAAAGCATGTGTGCATGAAAGTGAGATTCACCAATTAAAATACTTAAACTTAGTTGTGAGAGAAACCCCAAGATTGCACCCTCCTGGGGTGTTGTTACTTCAACAAGAAAACATTGAGAGAGGTGTGATCAATGAATATAAGATACTTGAAAAGACTAAAATCATTGTCAATGGATGGGCACAATAGGAAGAGATCCCAAGTTTTGGGATGAAGCAGAGACCTTCAAGCCAAAGAGATTTGTGGATAATCCAATTGATTTTAGAGGAACAAATAATTTTGATTATATATCATTTGGTGCTGGAAGGACAATTTGTCCTGGAATTAACTTTGCTATACCGAACATTGATCTTCCACTTGCTAATTTGCTGTATCATTTTGACTGGAAGCTGCCAAATGGAATGACTCATGAAGAATTTGAGATGTCTGAGACATTTGGCGCTGGCGTGAGAAGAAAGGAGAATCTTAGGTTAATCCCTGTTAGTTATCAGTGCTAGTACCTGTTATTTTTGCTTCCATGATTTGTCTCATCACTTCGATCTTGTTAACTAGTTGTGATGTGAACATCCATATTTTCAGTTAATGGTGTAATGTTATAAAAACGATAATTGCTTTTGTTAATTTAATCGCTCATTTCCTAGAGCCAATATTCAAAGTTAATGTGAATTGGGTCCAAATGATAGATGTTTGAACTTTTATAATCATTATTTGCGCTATTAACTTGTTAACAATTGAGAAATTATATTGATTATAATATTAAGAAAACTTAGAGAGTTAAAACTTGGATATTTAGCATCATTATTTCTAATCAAGCCAAAAATTAATTAGTCACTTATTTTGATTTGATTGAAAAATATATTCACTACAAAAAATTACTAAAATAGAGATGAAAATTAAAGATAGCCTAATTATCATCTCTAATAGAGACTAATTATATTTTTAGAGACAAATTTAATTTTAAAATATAATGAGAAATTTAGAGATGACTTATATACATCTTTAAAAAAAAGTGTCACAAATCCATCTTGGCTTCTGTTATTATTCATTGAAAATTTAATTTTTAAAGATTAAAATTTTAAAGACAAGTTTAGAGATGAATAAATTCATCCATAAATTAACCATCTCCAAGTTTGTCTCTAATATTAATTTTACATTTTTTTAAATTTAGAAATTGAATTTGAAACAGATTTTTTTTTTATGAATTTAGAGTCAAAAATTTAACCATCTCTAATTCCCTCTCTATATTTTTTAAAATTTCATAATTTTATTTTTATTAATTTAGAGATGGCATTAGAGATAACTGAAATAAATATATTAGAGATAAAATTATTTTTATTTCTTAATGCATCTATAATTCAAAGTAAAGATAGATTTAGAAATAGAGTCATATTTTTAATTTTGAATTATCAATTATTTTAGTACATGTTTGAAATATATTAAGATGAATATTAATTTTAAAAAATTAGAAAATTTTTTTATCATTGTTTAATGAGCTTCCCATTCAATGAAAACAATGAAAATTCAATGTTTGTGTTGAAAAACATTTATCTTCAAAATTTATAAAGTGTTTGAAAGTATTTTGCATGTCATTTAAATCTTTCTCTTCTCTTTTCCCTTTTCCTTTAAGTTTAACTATTCTTATTTTCTAAATTTCTATTTAATATTTATTAATTTATTCTACAACCATAATTGATTGAATTTTTTTATCTTTTTTGTGTTATTCATATTTTTCTTCAATAATTTTAAATTTTTACTAAATAACAAAATTGTCTTGAAAGAAGTCACAAACAATATTTTATAACAACATATTAAAAAAATAAAATAAAATCAAAGCTCCAAAAAATTTATGAAATTGAATATAAAGAATAATTAATAAAAATATATTTAAAATGATTATAATTAATAATATTGGTACGACTAGAATTAATTATCTTTGTACAAAATATAATTTTTGATACTCTCTATATGTGTGTGTGTGTGTGTGTGTGTGTGTGTGTGTGTGAATAATGTTCATTTTTAGCATAGGAAGGAGAAAAGAAAAATAAATTTTGAAGTGTAAAAGAAAATAATTATTTTATTGATATATAGTGTAACTTAAAATTATATAAATAAAATAATACTTAATTTATGATAAATAGAATAAAATATTAACATATTTATATTATATTTATAAGATTTTAAATTTGTTCCATATTACATAAATTTCATAAAAAATAATTTTTTAAAAATAAATTTTAAATAAAAAATCATAAAATATATTTAAATTAAATATTTAATTTAAATATTTTGTATTTTAAAAGTTATCAGTATTCATTAAAAAATTAAAAAAATTCAAAATGATAATTAACAAAATTTATATGATCAAAATTACTTTTTATTAAAATAATTTTAAAAATATTTAAAAAATTGTAGATAAAATTTATTTGTACGACAAGAATGTGAAACATTGAATATTTATTCATTAATTTTTGAGAATAATATGGAGAAAATAAAAGTAAAAGATATTTAATATAAACTAAAACAATAAATATTTTTAAATAAATTATATTCTTAATTTTTTTATTTTAAAAATAATATTTTTATATCAAAAATTTGCTTCATTTTAACTTTATTTTCCTAAAAAAATAATATTTTACTAAAAAATAATATAAATAGTCATATAAATAAATTTATCATATTAATAATTGAAAATAAAATATAATATATGTATATCTTTTTAATAATATATTATTATATATATGTGTATGTAATTAAATAACATAAATTTAATTTCATATATAATAATTATAGGTGTATTTTATTTTAATTGGTAAATAAAAAAGATTTAAAGCTTAGAAGGTAGGAGGTTAAGAGATTAAATTTTTACTTTTGACATATTTTATAACAAATATGTAATGCATCATGTGATGACAGCTAACATGGCATGAGGTGGTGACACAAT